GTTGAAAGAGACAAGTCCATAGAGACGGATTCAAAGAGACAAGTTCAAAGTGACGTGTTAAAACATTTCCTCATCAAACTAATAAACATTCTGGAGGTGTTAAAGGTTCTGGAGGTGTTGAAGGTTCTGGAGGTGTTGAAGGTTCTGGAGGTGTTGAAGGTTCTGGAGGTGTTAAAGGTTCTGGAGGTGTTAAAGGTTCTGGCGTACCACTTGGACAATCTCTGCTTTGCGTTCGTTCTCTGCACGGCGTTTCAGGTTCTCCTCTCTTCTTTTCCTCTTTTCCTGAGAGCACAAACAAAAGCCAGGTTAGAAGTGTACCATCATGAGCGTAACAGAGGTCCAGAACATCTGGGTCAGGCCTAACACAGATCTAGAACATCTGGGTCACAGTACCTCTTTCTTCTGGGCCTTCTCCTCTTTCAGCCTCGCAGTAAACTGTTTGACGAGGTCCTTCTCTCGCTTGGCCTCCATCTTCTTCTCCCAGGAGGAGCACAGGGGCTTGTCTCGGACCAGGGAGGAGAACCTGGACACAGAGAGAACACAAGTCAAACCAGAACCTGGACACAGAGAGGACACACGTCAAACCAGAACCTGGACACAGAGAGGACACACGTCAAACCAGAACCTGGACACAGAGAGGACAGAGAACCACTTGGACACACAGGTAACTGGTGTTCAGCCCAGTTTTTAGGTGGTGCTGAAACCAAAACCAAACCATTGTGTGATTGGTCCAGCCGGTTCTGTAAAGTCTCGGCTCCAGCTTGATCCAGTTCTTACCTCTGCTTGTTCCGGTCCTTCCACACTCTGCCTGATTTGGGTTTTCCCAGAGGGATCGGTTTGGTGTTTGGCTCCAGAGCAGGTTTCTTCTTCGGGATCGGTTCTGAACCCTCAGGTACTGTTTCTGCCGGTGCGGGTCTGGGTATCTGGAGGTTTGGATCTGTCTCCGCTGTAGAACCCTCCTCGTCCTCTTTCGGCGGTTCTTCTGGCTCCGGTTCCGACAGGCTGGACTTCTTGACGGGACTCTCAGGTCTGCGCTCCGGACTCTCCGTGTTTTGTTCCTCCGCCGCCGGCAGCTCTTGGAGGACCGACCTCCTGGTCCTCCTGCCGGGGGTCCTCACCGGGACTTTGGAGGAAGGAGTGCGCACCGCGCGGCCGCTGCGGGTCCGTCTGGTCTCCACCTGCTCCTCTCCCGCTTCGGAAGCAGAGTTCTCCTCTGGAGCAGCTTTCCTTCTCTTCGGCATATTTTTTAAAACTTACCGAGACTCAAATATAGAAAAACCACTGAACCCACGTGCGACTGACCCTAACCGACAGGAGCGCTGTTTGTGTACGCTGCTTTTCCGGTGCTGACGTCATCATTAAGCGACACTCTGGGTGTTGTCTCCCCCTAAAGGCGCGGAGGAAAAACTGCAACAGACCCTCATCAAAGAGATCCACAAAAATACAAGAAAACAACTAAATTAATGACTAAACTGCGTATGATCAATTATTGGATGCATGTTTCTGAAGACAACAAATTAAAGAAATTTTAAATAAATAAAATATTTATATTGTAGACTTTAAAGAATACTAGAAAAAACTGCATTCTCTGCAAAACTGCAGCTTGCTGAGTGACTTGGCTGAATGTAGTTGGAGCTGAAACCGAGTTAAAACAAGCTGAACAGAAACTAAAATTTGCAAAAGCTAATTAGCTACAAGCTAAAGTTAATTGAACAATGGCTGCCAGGTAAAATTAGCAAAACAGTAGCTACAAGGTAAAATGATCAAACTGTAGGTAAAAGCTAACATTTTTTAAATTATTTTTTTACATAATTTTCATCCATTTATTATTGTTATTATTATTTTCAATTTATATGCTTTGTTTTATGATTGGGGCAGCAGGGTAGCGCAACTGGTAGAACTGCTGCCTCTCAGCGAGAAGGTTGCCGGTTCAAATCCCAGTCCGGGGCCCTTCGTGCATGCATGGGTTTTCTCCAGGTACTCCAGTTTCCTCCCACAGACCAAAAACATGTATGTTAGACTAATTGGTAACCCTAAATTGTCCCTAGGTGTGAGTGAGAGAGTGAATGGTTGTTTGTCTCGTTTGTCTCTATGTGTCCCTGTCATGGACTGCCTGCAGAGACCCCTTCTTGCCAGGGTGTACCCCGCCCTTCGCACAGTGATTGCTGGACATGGGCACCAGTGACCCCTGTGACCCAAAATGGAAGAAGCGGGTAAAGGTAATGGATGGATGGATTTTACGATTGTCTACTGTCATCATCAGTCTTTGTTAAGAAATCAGGTCTCTCTTGTAAATGAGTCCTCGAGGCTCTATGAGACTAACCTGTATAGATAAAGGTCAGTGTTTCTCTCTGGAATGTTTTCTGTGAATAAAGGGAATATTTTGAAAAGTATAAAAGTTGCAAATATCAAAAGTCAGAGCATGAACGTCCAACTCGAGCTTTTAATTTAAATTCAAACTTTGATACTTTTTTAGTTAAAATGATAAAAGTACGCAGAAGTAGCCTTGAGTCCAAACTCTGACTCAATAGGAAATACGCATAAGCATGAATCATGAATAATTCAGAGACAACAGTTCTTTACCTGCACGTTTAAATAAATCTGTTTTTAATAAAAGAAAAGATTAAAAAAAAAAAAAGTTTAAAGCTGCTTATAGCAGCGCCCCCTGCTGACTCAAATTTGTCACTGCATTATGTGTCACGTGACTCCACTTCCGCTCTCGTGATGTCTGTCATTAAACATGAGAAGTCAACTGTACCCGAACTGGTTCTGTTTGTATTCAACATCTGCAGTCAAAAGACTCATCATGACTCTGATCGGACTGAACATCTGGCTGCTGCTGCTGTCTGGATCCGCAGTGAGTACTGGTTCTGTCTGGACCCTCAGATAGTACTGGTTCTGTCTGGACCCTCAGATAACAGATAGTACTGGTTCTGTCTGGACCTTCGGAGAGTACTGGTTCTGTGGTTCTATAGTACAAATATCTGTTAATATGTTCAGTCTGAGTATAAATATCTGTTTATAATAATAATAATGTCATCACTGTATGTTTCCATACAATGGCAAAATTAGTTTCTGCATTTAACTGGGGGAGTGGTGGCACAGAGGTTAGAAGATGGGCTTGTGATCGGAAAGTCACAGGTTGCCAGGTCAAAACTCAATTTAAGATATCTAGAATGTAACTACAGATAGTCAGACTACTCGATTTTATGTTAAAAGGGCTTGCCATAAAACACCCACACCTCCCTCCACCCTCACCCGCCCCACCCTGGGCCCCCGTGCAAGGCCCCCAACCCCCACCATCCGCTCCCCAAACAGGTCTCTCTTGAAAATGAGTTCTCGTGGCTCAATGGGACTACCTGGATAAATAAAGGGTAAATGGAAATGAAAAACTCATCCACCACCAGGTGGTGCAGTGGGCAGATATTGAAAGTGCCTGGGGGGCATTTTAATATTCAGTCTGAGTATAAATATCTGTTTAAATATATATTTAGTTTGAGGGCAGCACGGTGGCGCAACTGGTAGAGCTGCTGCCTCTCAGTGAGCAGGTCCTTTGTTCAAATCCCGTTCCGTGGGCCTTCCTGGGTGGAGTTTGCATGTTCTCTCCGTGCATGCATGGGTTTTCTCTGGGTACTCTGGTTTCCTCCCACAGTCCAAAAACATGCATGTTAGGCTGATTGGTAACTCTAAAATTGTCCCTAGGTGTGAGTGAGAGAGTGAATGGTTGTTTGTCTCGTTTGTCTCTATGTGTCACTGTGATGGACTTGCAACCCGTCCAGGGTGTACCTCGCCCTTCGCACAGTGATTACCAGACATGGGCACCAGCGACCCCCGTGACCCAAAATGGAAGAAGCGGGTAAAGATAATGGATGGATGGATGGATATTCAGTTTGTGATATTTGTGTGCTGACCTGCAGCTCGGAGCGCCTTCGTTCAGCCTGGACTATGAGAACGACTGCTTCCTTAAAGATGGACAACCATTCCGTTACATCTCAGGAAGCATCCACTACAGCAGGATCCCCAGGGCCTACTGGAGAGACCGGCTGCTCAAAATGTACATGGCAGGACTGAACGCCATCCAGACGTAAGTTGAACTTAAAGTGGGCTTTTATAGATTCAAGCCTTTGAGTTGTTAACTTTCCACAAGTTGTTGTTCACAGCAGACTGACTGAAAGTGTCTCATGGGAACAAAGACACTGTTTACAAAATTTACGAGCAGATTCCATGAATGGTTTGAATAATCTGGGTTCTTTGTGCAGCTACATTCCCTGGAACTACCACGAAGAGTCTCCGGGTCAGTATAACTTTACCGGCGACAGAGACGTGGAGTACTTCCTGAAGCTGGCTCAGGACACGGGCTTGTTGGTCATCCTCCGGCCTGGACCCTATATTTGTGCAGAGTGGGACATGGTGAGTCCGGCCGACACTAAATATAACAGGTTCTAAATGTTCTAAGAGGTTCTAACAGTGTTCTAACAGGTTCTAACGGTGTACTAACAGGTTATAACAGTGTTCTAAGAGGTTATAACAGTGTTCTAACAATCCAAAAAAAGTTCAATCTGGTCCTCTGGACATTCAATCAATAACGCGTACTAACAGGTTATAACAGGGTACTAACAGGTTATAACAGTGGTCTAACAGGTTATAACAGTGTTTAACAAGTTCTAACAGGTTATAACAGTGTCCTAAGAGGTTCTAACAGTGTTCTAACAGGTTATAACAGTGTTTAACAAGTTCTAACAGGTTATAACAGTGTCCTATAAGGTTATAACAGTGTTCTAACAGGTTATAACAGTGTACTAGCAGGTTAGAACAATGTACTAGCAGGTTATAACAGTGTACTAACAGGTTATAATGGTGTACTAACAGGTTATAACGGTGTACTAACAGGTTATAACAGGTTATAACAGGGTACTAACAGGTTATAACAGTGTTCTAAGAGGTTATAACATTGTTATAAGAGGTTATAACAGTGTTCTAACAGGTACTATCAGTGTACTAACAGGTTATAACAGTGTACTAACAGGTTATAACAGGGTACTAACAGTTATAACAGTGTTCTAAGAGGTTATAACAGTGTTCTAACGGGTTCTATCAGTGTACTAACAGGTTATAACAGTGTATTAACAGGATATAACAGTGTTATAAGAGGTTCTAACAGTGTTCTAACAGGTTCTATCAGTGTACTAGCAGGTTATAACAGTGTTCTAACAGATAATAGCAGGTTATAACAGTGTTGTAAGAGGTTATAACAGTGTTCTAACCGGTTATAACAGTGTAGTAGCAGGTTATAACAGTGTACTAACAGGTTATAGTGGTGTACTAGCAGGTTATAATTGTGTACTAACAGGTTATAACAGGGTACTAACAGGTTATAACATTGTTCTAATAGGTCATAACAGTGTTCTACGAGGTTCTCACTGTACTAATAGGTTATAACAGTGTTCTAACAGGTTTTAAAAGAAACTGTCCAGATGACCTGACTGAAAATTCTTGGATTGTATACCTGGATAATTGAGCATGGACTTTGTTAGGTTATAACAATGTCCTAAGAGGTTCTAACAGGTTCTAACATGTTCTAAATGTTCTAACAGATTCTAACAGTGTTTTAACAGTGTTCTGACAGTGTTCTAAGAGGTTCAACAGATTCTAACAGTGTACTAACAGATTCTTACAGTGTACTAACAGTTTCTAATAACTAAGCTAAAAACAAAAACACACGCTAAAGAAGTCGTCTCAGGGCACTGGACAGAAACATATAGCAGTAGGGCCAATATTTTAGGCCGATATAGGTGTTTGGGACCTGTCGATATCTGTGATAATTATCCCATTATTCTCCGATATAAACACTTCTCATTTCCACGCCTAAAATGCTGGAACCAGCCATAACTGTACAATGTATCCAGCATAGTGCGCATGAAGACAACTTTCAAGTCATGACCATTCACTTTAAGTTTCACTTTCATCACAGTCGAAGCAGCGAACAATACTGTGTAGTAGAGTTGCACTCGGGTCCAAATAATCCAAACCGACCCAGCCCCAGCCTGCAGCCATCATTTTCGAACCCCACCCAATCCGACGAATTATCAGTAATTACAGGTCCGAACCCGAAAAAAACAACATTTTTAATTAAGCTTACCACCGACTATTATTAATGGTTGGCGTACACACGCGGCTGAGTAAAGGGGCAGAAGATCAGAGCTTAAGAGCTGTCAAAGTGCATGAAATGCTTCCCCTGCTTCTGCCTGCATTGGGCCCTGCCCTGACATGTCGGATCTTTTGGGATCTCACCTGTTTGGGTCGTTGGCTGCGCGCATCCGCTGAGTGCAGCGGCTGAATGAACGTCCATTTGGGCGATGGATCGCTTTCTGGCAGTTTAGTCTCATCTGAAGCTTAACTGAACTTTATTTTACCTCGTTCAACGGGCCGGTCAGCGCGCGGTGAAATGGCCATGTGTGGCAGGTGCAGTATGGCAAGCCATGTTTGCATATATTGAATCATGTGCCGTGCCCCGGATGCAATGAAAAGCCCGACACCGACCCGGCCCACACATTAAGCACATTATTATGGCCCGTTCCGAATTCGGGTCGGGCCAGGCTCAGGGTTCGGGTTAGAAATGACAGCTCTACTGTTTATTTTAACTGATCTGTAAAATAAATCATCAATAATAAATTATCTTCAATCCTCCAACCTGCTTGTCATTAGCTACGTGCCTCTCAAGTTAGCAAGCTAATGTATAGATAACCTAGCATAGGCTATTGCCTTGTAAAACTTTATCCAGAACTATAAATCTAACGTAGAGGTAAAATATATCAGAGTTACAAACGTTTAGTTTAAAACTCTGGCATGAGAAGATTATATGCATTCCTTGGTTTTTTTTCTTCCTCCCTGGCTCTGATCGAGGTGGCTGCTTCTGTCATCCCTCCCCCGTTTTTCCTTCTTCCTGCTCTGCTCTCTGTGTGTCTGAAGTGCCTGGTTCACATCTCCCGAACATAAATTAAGAAGATTATGGATTTAGTATTGTGGGCATTCAACTCTATTGATAAGATTTTTTCATCAAAGCGACAAGATCCTGGAGAATCGGCGTGTCCAGCTGAGACTCACGCTGTGGGGTACGTCATGGATTCGTGGGGAGTGTGGCAGATGATGTGCCTCTCAGTCCTGTCTCAGGAGGATGTTGAAGACGTTTACATATTTGGAATTATGATAGTAGGGACTTAGCTTTTTGGCATTGGCGGGGCTCTGTTTTATCGACTTTTGAAGAAGACAGCGGCAGCAGTTTCGGCCATGGAAAAGCTTCCGAGTCAGTGTGAAGGTTTGGTCTGTGCAGTAGGAACTTTAAATCATCTGGTTTACGAGATTAACCTTAAGATGGAGGCAATTTATGAGAATCGCAGGCCACCTGCGGCTTCTGGGACTCGTCAGCGTGGTGGGTTCGACCTTGAGGGAGACTCATAGCATGGATCAGTGGAATGGAATCCCACAATTAGGCATTTTCGGAACCAGAACGCCCAGATGGACTCAAGGCTGAAGAAAAAAGTAACCTCTGCCTGAAATAAAACAAAAATCAAGTTTATCTAAATCTGATGCCCGACGGCCTCGGAGACAGGCCGACTATCAAATTTCTCCCAGGTCATGAGTACCCAAGGACAAAAAATCTACCCC